TAAAATCAAGATTTATGTCATTCGAGGTAAATTTATTGGAAATCTAAGAAATATATCGGTCTGTTTTTTTTTTAATATTCCTGTACTTTGGGGTCTCTTGGTACCTACTATTGTTAATATTTGCGAATGGAGAGCGGGAATTTTCAAAATAAAAATGTATAAGCTTTTTTTGCAATGAGCACCAAAAATGTAGTCTTTTTTCTTTCCAACGATAAAGCAGAGAGAAAATGTGATTCTTTAAGGCGTCAAAAATAATCTTCAACTGATCAGTCAAATATTTTTCAAAAAAAATACTTTCTGAAACACTCGAAAGCACATGGGAAAAAGCCTCAGTGTCAGCCCCCTTTAGTGTACATCAATTGTTTCTGTGCAGGACATCTTTTGATCGCAATGGTTGCACGTTGTTTAATTTTTAAAATGTTATTAATATTTGACTTTTGAAGTCCATACATTAAATTATTATATTATTGTCAAAAGGTAGGTAGCAGAAAAAAAATAAAAAGTTTTGTGACTGAATTATATTTGTTCTGGCTTTTATATTATTAGTATTAGTAAGCTAGTATGATATTTAATTTTACTCTCTATTCGCCAAAGTATGTTCCCCGTTTTAAAATATTTACAATTAAATTGCAACTATCAATCTAACGGACATTATTATTATTATTTTCCGAAATGTTCACACACTCCATTTGCGAATTCAATGTGAACGTTTTATGTGTGTACATGTCAACCGGACGGATCAATATTTTTTTTAACATACTAATAATAGTACAATGCTTGAAATTATGTCACGTTTACAATATCCCAATAAACCGGCGATGGATTTGTGTTTATTTATTATATTTCTAAAGCCATATTATTGTCGTTTGTATGTTTTATTATGTATTATTGTGTATAATATTGTTAAGAATGTTGAGTTCGGCATGCCGGTATTTTAATTTTATTTTTCCCGCTAATATTCGGTTACGGTGACTGATTTGGCCAAATTCGTGTTGTGGAAGAATTACGTTAACGGTTATAATATAATATACATCTTTACTCGTATCGTCAATATTATATTGGTCACATACATCAAAGACACCTTTCTATCAGCAGTAAATTACAATATTATAAAATGATCTATTCTTCCCGCTCCCCGCCTGCCTTTGAAAAACTATATTGCGGTTTAGACGGTTTCGCGATTCACCATTGCAATAACATACATACTTAATGAACTTTCCTTATCCGATTCACATTTTTGTAGATAACTGATAGGTACTTTCTTATTATCAATTTTTCAACAGACGAACGCCGTCGTACAAGAACATTCTCGGTGATGCTGATTCTCGGTTTATATATGTCTGTGTGTATGTGTATGTGTAATGGTATTTATTTCCCTAGGACAATCTAATTACTCGGTTGGGTTTCCATATAAAGTCCACTTTTTTGTCTGTATATACATTTATATAATATATACGAACGCGAATTATACATCTAATTGTTTTCTAAGATTTTTTTTCGCATGCCTTTGTCTATATCTGTACACAAGTATGATAGGAGACGCCAAATTAAAAAAAAAAATCCGTTTTCCATTGGTTCTCTTAGCGCTCGTGTTATTATAGTTGATATTTTCTACATCAGTGTATCAAAACATAAAAACAAAACACCATTACTCTACAATAATTATTAATACCTTCTACCTACCTAGCTTCGCATGAAAGCTAAAAAGTAATTTAAAGTAATCGCTATAATCCCATTTTAAACGTTTATAAAACACACACACACATACACTGGTTGCATGAACAATAAAAAATAATAAATAAACACATTACCCTCATTCTTTTGCAGTCGGATAAAAACTATAATCGAATCCATATACAGTTTAATAACCCTTATAAAACGTTTTTTTAAACAATGTGAATAACTTTTCAGAATGAATAAAACTCTGAAACATTAAATAATATATGTATATATATATTTTAAAGACGTGATTTTGTATATTTGTGTGATGATACACACAATGTGTGTATCATGCTGTTTTTTTTTTAAGATTTATGTTCGTTAAGACGTGCTATAATATTTTATCTTACCGTCAAGCAAACTATATAAGGATATACTCAATGCAAGTGTTCGTCATTTATGAATAAACGTGAATTATAAACGTCAAGCTAAATTGTTACAACAGTATAATATGATAAAATAAATAACTTTTCAAATATAAAATTTTCTTTGTCCAGTCATCTCTTTTTCATAATCTAATATGATGTGTATGGTACATGTAAATGAAATATTCGAAGAAAGTTGCTTTAACTTGCATTTATTAGTTATGAGTTTTGACTGGTAAAATTTAAACATTTAAAAATAAGTTTCACTAAAACGAATAAAAAATTAATACAATTAATATTTCTTATGTTTGAAAAAAAAATAAGTCTTTATGTTCGTGATTTATCTGGAATTACTTATTTGACAATTAAAACAATAGACTTGTCCCACTGGATCGGATGATAATACAATTTTAGTTGTCATTGGACAGATGTGTCACATACGATTTTTTTATACTGCCTGTTTTTTTCTAATAATACATGATTGACTTATAACTCATAACACACTTGCTGTTTATTAAGTTGAACTTACAACGATTTGATAAAAAAATTGAAGTTGTTCAAATTAGGACAAAATGTATGATCATAGTAAGGTAATAGCATATACTATAGGTAGCATATAATATATTATAAAAGCGAGCGTTAAACTCTCGTGCCAACTTAAAATATGCTCTTTTTCATCAATAAACTTATTATCTATGGTTACATATTATAATTTCTACTTTTAGCACCAATACAGGAATAATTTTCTTTTCCTTTTACAAACTATGTATGTTTTAGCAATATATAATGCTATGTCAAGTGTTGACTGACTACAACTTGGCCTAATTTTCTGAAAACTTACTGTTGCTATCATAACTTTAAAATGTTTTTAAGTTAAAAAGTAATCATTCAAAACTAGTTATCAAACAGTCATTGTTTTTATTAGAATATATTCTACTACTAACGTAATTGTTAAACATTTAGACCGTTTTAAAATTAAAATTTAAGAAAGAGATGATTTTGGTGCAATTAAAAAAATTTTAATAATTTTACGTCAGAAGTCTACGAAAGTAAAAAAAAAAACTGAACAAAATTAACGACAAAATAACAAGGTTAACTAATCACCTTGTAGTTATAATTTGACGTGAACTTTAGTATTAAGATTTAAGTCATGTATTACTTGTTTTAATTCTTGTAATTGTCCAGTGTTATGTATTTTAAACAAAATCTTACGATTATATGTATGCTAAGCAATGTTTCATTATTAAATAATCGATCAACAGCAGAATAATCATTATATTATTGTTTATATGGTTACTTATTATGTCCAATAATAAATGTAGCAGTTTTTCCCAAATCATAGTCGGTTTATAGTTAATAAATACTCTTCTAAAAAAAAAATACTCTTCTTCTCCTTCGCTTTTATCTCAATTATTTGGGATCGCCGCACCCTGGTCCCAAACCTCCACTCGACACGATCTCCCACATTATCTTTGCATACACCAGCCTTCCTCATATCATTCTCAACTGTATCCAAACACCTTTTTTCGGTCTTCCCCTTCCCACCTTTCCTTCTACGTTTATTTTCATTGTTATTATTACCGACTCGGATTCCTCTCTCCTCGTCGCTATCTAGGGAACAATAGATACCTAATACTAAGTATAACTTTTAACTAATTTAATAATTAATACTAACATTTCCTAAATTAAATCTATTCAGGCTGCAATTTGCTGTATTTGTTTTTTTTTTGTTGAGAAATTCAAGTATTACTTTAAAAAATAACGACTAGCTGCTTTGAACTCTATAGATCTCGCAACACAGTCATTGTGACGTTTACTCGCTACTGTATTATCATTAATATTATTTGTGCACATTGACAGCATTCCTGAATGGTCATGAAAGTCACTCGGCTTAATGATCATTGTTTTTTAAAGTCATTTAGTATAGAAGTTCAATATTAGCGGTACGGCAAACGACATACGCGAAAAGAGGACTATTCGTGGCGTGCGAAACACTGTTTAATTAGTTGCGAATATGACGATGAAACGAAACTTTCTTAATGACCAATGTAAGATGATGGCACAGCGATATGGCCGCGAGTGGTCATCATTGTGTTTAACTGGTAGCCGGCGGCGGCAAAACAATAATAGCCAGCTAAGAAGAATGTCACCGCCAACGAAGAAGACCGTCTTCTTCTGAAGACGTGGACTCGACAACGAGGCGAATAATAATTATTACTATACGTATAGTTATCGGCGAACAAAAAGTGAAAAAAAAACGTTTTCTAATAACAGCACCGGTCGGTGGCCAGCCCTAATGAGCGGTGCCCAAGAACATATCTAGGTGTAATAATTTGACCCGAATATCGCTTTGCAAATAACGAAAAAAAAAGAAGGTATATCGCAGAAAGAAAGAGGACTACCACAGCTGTAGACGACATTGTATCGTTTTACATCCATTTGGATTTTAATTGGAACGCAAAACGCGTTTTAAAATTATTATTGTTATTATTATATCTTTGCATTGTACTATACGATACATAGTTGCGGGGAACACCGTGAAAATAGCTGTTAACACAGTTCGCGGTTTTACAAACGTCTGTCTAAGACGAATTGGCAAACAGTGATTTTTGTTTCCATATATAACTCCGTACCTCACATAATAATATCAGCTATAATAACGCACTTCTTGTACTTCCACCTACTACATGCCACTTCGCGTACAGTGTCGTGTATACCTACCACACGTCTATTATTATTATTTGTCTTTTGGCCGGCGCGCTAATTGAAGCGTGATAAACCATTGGACCGGCAAAACGCCATGTGATATGGATACGGTGGTAGGGGGTTGGCGGCCGTCCCGGGCTCGTGTAACTTCGAGCGGCGCGACCAAGCCGCTGCCGACGCCGGAACGTTCGCTTGGTCCGTCAACGCCGCGGGCCCGTTCAGTGTAAACAGCGTCCGCAGACCGTCACGATCACACGCCACACGCATCCCGCGCCGCAGCGATGATTGTGTACGGAAACGACAACGACACGCGCCGCCGACGACCACATATTGTTGTTAATTTATTATCGTTAGTGTACCGCCTGTAGGATTACCCGTACGCACAGTAACGCAATGCTGCCAAGGATAGCCAACTTCGTGGCGGCGACGGTGCCCATACTGCTGCTGCTGCTAGTCCAGCAATTTAGGGACGCGTGCGGTTCGTCTGCGTTTGCGTCCGGCGACGACGACGCGCCGGCAATGTGGTCCAGGTTTGGCCTGGTGGTCCAGCGGCAGACCGACCCTGCCGCCGGCATGCCGCACACCACCGAGACGTCCGGCATCATTATCAGAGCCCCCGACCCGCCATCGCCCGCTGCCCGGGACGCCCTGGGCAAGTCCTGGACCCAGATATCCGTGACTCCGCCGCCCCGGCCCACAGTCCCGGCCACGTCGGCCGTTTTGACGGCTTCCACGCCGATAAAGTTCGCCTCGACGTTCGTCACGGGCCCGGCGGCCACCACGTCTACCTCGCGGCCACCGACGTCTAGCACCCAGGTGTCCCGAATGGTGCCGTCGTCCAAGTACAAACATACGGACGGATCGTCCAAGCCCATGATCACCATAACGTTCCCGCCTCCCTCGTCGGCCCACACCGTCAGTCCGTCGGCCAGCATGGAGGTGACGTCCAAGAAGGTGAGACAATACGAGGACGACGACGACGATGACGACGACGACGAAGACGAAGAGGAAGATTACGAGGACGACGATCAAGGCGATAAGGACAACGAGGAGGAGATCGAGGAGATCGTCGAGGTGCAACAAGTAGACCCCGACCGCCTAGACAGTGAGTATAGCCAAAAGATAACCAAACAATTGATTCGAGTTCGAGTATTTGTTGTTTGGTTTTTTTATTTCATGTTTTCAATTATACGTTTTTTTTCATTCCCTTAAACATTTTTGAAAAGTAAAACCCGAGCGATCAACATGCGTTCCGGTCGGCTGACCGAAGCGGATCGTTCATCCGACAAATTGTTTATAGGTATGATCCAAAAAACGACACCACCGCCGCCGCGCCGGGTATTTGCTTTCGGCAAAAGAAAGTTACTGTGGAGTACGGGTAAAAAAAAAAAACCCGGCGCAAGTATGCGTCTTCGCCGGCGGAGTATCGATTTGTGGTTACGACCTTGGACACGGTATATTGAACCAAGAAACTAGCGCAATTCGCACCGACGCCGAAAACGCCGGGATTAGCAGACCTATTAGCAGACACGTTTTGCATTCATTTTGCACCGATGCCGAGCCAAAACCGCTTTTTATTGCCGTTTTGCATGCGTTTTTTTTATTATCGTCAATGATCGTGGACGACACTGGACGTGACGAATCCGTCAACGGTGATCGATAATCAACGTCATTGTCAAAGCGTCACGCCAAGACCGGCGGCTGTGGCGCCTTCGGCTGTGATTACAATACGTTATTATATTGAACGTACCCGTTAATTCGATTAAGCTGTTAATGTGTTCTCAAAACGCGCGAGTTAGACGTGGGAACCGGCCAACGGGAAAGCGACGACGGCGGTGTTAAAATATCACTCGATCATTGTTTTCTCGTTTAACGGTAATGAACACTGGCGAGTTATGAACGCGAGCGGAATAAAAAAAAAGTGCGAGTCAGGACTTTAACGACAGGGATAATCTGCTATCTGGAAAACGGACAATAAATGGACGATGATTTGGCTTTCTAAAAAAAAAAAAAAAACGCGCTCGTCTTCTGTAATGTCGGGCTAAACAAATCCGTTTGTTTTGTTTCCCTCCTCCTCCCCGGTGCCCTTGGCCGCCAAGACAAAACAGTCTGTACTACTTTAAATTAAAGAAACTCCCGTGACTTCGCAGGTTCACGGCCGATAAATTCCGTACTAAACGACAAATAATTGCATCTCGGGCGTTGTCCACGCCATTCAGGGATGAGATGAAAATGTTAATTTTTTTTTAATAACCGAATCATTCTAATTTTAATTTTTTTTTATCATTTCATCTACAATTAGCGATTTAATGAAAAATATTTTTAGTAATAGTATTTATTTTTTTTAGTGTTCTCATAAACGAAGTCGAACAACCAAATCCTCACTACATTTTCTTATATATTCCACATTTTCCATTGGTGTTTCTCTAAAATATTTCTCATATCATTTAAAATTAATGTCCTTCTCTTTTTTCAACATGACCTACCGTATTCTGTTTCATTCCAAGTTATAATCGAGAAAAGATAAACAATCTCGTCTCTAGTCTCTACTGTTATAACATGTACTTCTAATTGTAACCATACATACATCCAACGTGCTACCTTGCCGTCTTATCCTAGCGCCAAACCTACCCATTATACTACTTATATTGTTGTTGTTTTTGGAAATTTGTATTATATTTGTTGTGCGTACCCTCCTAGGTGGTTATGCCGAAGACAAGCCGACCATAGTGACGAAGAAACGCCGGCGAAAAAAACACGGCAAGAAACACAAACCGTTCAAGGTAAAGGACTTTAAAAAGCTGAAGAAGTTCATGCTGCCCCTGCTGCTGGCTTACAAGCTCAAGTTCTTCACGCTGGTGCCGCTCATGTTGGGCGGCTTGGTGCTCATCGTGGCCACGACGGGTTTCGCCGGTTTCTTTTTTGCCCTGTTCGCTGTCGGGCTGGGACTCAAAGGACACCGTTAATCACCTAGTCGGAAGTACGTTGACCCTTTATCAATTACATTAATACATTAACTCAGTATAAGATCACGATTCCTTGTGTATTATTATCAAGTTCGATTGTTGAGAAACACGATTTAAAAAGAACATCTTGTAACACTCATATTAGGATCACGTGCGGTAAGTACGACCAAACGGGTCGAGGAAAATATTTATTGAACTTTATAACATATTTAACGCGATTAAACATTTACCATTTTCATCACTATTGATTGTTTCTTAAAAAAAAATTGTGCACTGACGCATTGACCTTATTTAGTTACAATCACTCCGAAATTCATTACTCAAATTTTTAATTGATCTGGAAATAACGCCACAATGTTCGAAAATAAGCAAATCAACGGAAACTATAACAATTGGTCTACCAAAAATTGTCATGTGTGAGATCCATGTCACTTATCCATGGCAACGTTTACACTGAGCAATAAGTACCCATTTTTATAAGGTATATTGCTGATGCATTTGTGGCAGCGTTTACTGAAACCGCGTATCTAATCCGTTTAAATCTGACGGGTCGACTAAACGTGAGCGTTTGTATAATAATATGAACCGCAAAGAAAGCAAAATCTATTGTTGACGTTTTGGTACGTCAATTATCATACAAGTTGTAAATCGCAACAAAACAAATTATAACATAAATTACAATATATATTTCTGTAATCTGCATTGTAATAAAACATTTCCATCCGGTAGGCACAGTAAGTCCGAGCAAGACATTGAATAAAAAAAAAAATATATATATATATATATATGTATATATTATTTAGAAAGTGTGAAATGAAACGACGATGTAATACCCTATCAAATAGGCAATTTTCATTATTTTTCACTTAATGAAACTCAGTGGACTCATACACAATAATCGCCAACGATTACCGGATACAGATATTATATGTCCGTCAGTATTTTTTTTTCCTTATTTTTTCTTTTTGTACATTTTGACAGGTAGGTACCAAAGAACTCGTCTCTTAATAGTCCATGGTTGGAAAATATCAAATTAACGTTTTTGTTCGTAACAAATAACAACTAAACATTTATTATTTTTTTGCCACGGTAAAGGTAGAATGTACACATTTCTAAAAATATATTATCGTGACAGTTAAAGTACACACACACACACACACATAGAAGATTTGTAATTAAACTGGCGAAACCCAAAACTAGAGTACAAGTGTCAAAATACGTTACGGTGGAGCAAAATTAAATGCTCATTTTCAACGCACACTTTATAGTTTCGTTTTACATTTGTTTTGTCAAATATAACTTTTTTTTCTAGTCTTTAGTGAATTTCAAAGGTAAAAACTAAATACAATAATAATAGTAGAAAGCAGTTTTGTTGACAGATATTGTATTTTGTTACTTATAGTGCTTAAATGACGCTTGCGTCTAAATAATGATTTATTCTTATCCTAAACATAAGAAATAGTCCAATTATTGTTTTCTAATTATTATGCTATATAATAATAACGATAGTTAAAATTTGGACCATTCCATTATAGTTTTATACATTACTAACATTTTATTACAAGCCTAATTAATGAACCGTTTATTTGGTCGACGAATTCGAGACGGTTAAAGAAAATGTGTCAAAAATGTTGACACAAATTTAACGACCAAGTTCAAGGATGTTTTTGTTTCATATTTTTGCCCGGTATACCGGCATTAACCGCATGGGAATATCGCTAGTTTCGTTGGTTTTTTCTTGTTGCTAAATTTGTGCAGTTTTGTGGCGTTTGGTTATGGATAATTTAATCCGGGCGATTTCCGTGGGTATACGTGCTTCCAAGACGTTACGTTGAAAATAAAAAAAAATATATAAAATAAAATAAACAATCTTATGGAGTGAATCTAATCTTCGCCGGGATGACTAAATTCTGCACGGTTTTAATCGACACCGAGTCTAATGTCCGGACAAAAAAAAAATTAGTTTTGGTCAAACGACTATAATAATATTTAAAGTATGCAAAAAAATGAAGTGTATTAAGACCTAAAAACTAGTATGTACTTTAAACAGACGGTGTCGTTTTCAGCGTCGTGCCGTAGCCTAGATATTTTTCAATTATACATTTTAATCCGTAATATTAGGCCATTTTATGAAAACCCCGTCGACACTATTATTCCATAACGAGCACATCGTTTATTATTTAAACTACATAACGGACCGACATTACAATATGAGACAAAAAATAGCTATACGAAAAAAAACATAATACATCACAAGCTCGATGAATACAAACAACAAAAAGTACATACCAAATCACCTTTATGATATACAGAAACAAAGAACCAACGAAGAGTAATTTTAATCCGTATTTTTCGTCCATTTCATAAGAAAACAATAATATCATTGAAATTGAAATTATTTCTGCCATTGTTTTGGTTGAATGATTTACACCCAAGAAAGACTAATATCACGATAAAATATAATACCCTTAGTATTACTTTTTTTTATTGGTATTTATTATATTATAGTTTATAACAGATTAGCATAAATAAAAATATTCCGTTATAATATCCGCATTTGACTCTCTTAGGTGCTCCGCAGCGCTGGTTTTTTAAAAACAAATTGTAAAGCTTAAATTTTTAACTTTGGAATTTAGATTGCATTATGCATTTTCGGGAACTTGTTTTAACCTTTTAGTGTTATGAGAACTAGATTTACAACAATATAAACTTGAGTTATGCTAGGGGTAAATAAAAAATAAGAAATACCTTATATTCTAAGTTTTTCTAAAGAAAATAATCATTTTGCAATCCACCAAATCGATTAAAAATAGATAGATTTTACCATAATATTATCTTAATCTTAAGCTATAGTACAAACAAATTATATTATAGTTAGTAAATTTTAAAAGGTAGTATTAAATCATAGCAGCCGTTAGAATTTTTATTTTTTATCGCTTTATTGAAATCATCGTTGTATTTAAAATTATGGGTAAAAAAAAAAAAAAAAGAATAATCGTTTCAATTGACCAATTTTTTGGAATTCATTTAACGTTTTTCGGTCCGTAAAGAATTACACGTTTTATTAAATTCAATAACCTATTCTGTGGCAAAATTAAAAATTAAATTAATCACAACAATAATAATATTATTTAAACGAACATTTAAGTATTGTGACGAAACATCAAAAACGTTAATGTACAGTATAGTTCCGTAGGCCGTCTTGATTCATTATATTTAGTTCTGGTCTATTTAATCGCTCATCGGTTCTATTTGTACGACCTGGATATTTGCGTGTATAATATACTTTTATGCCATACATATATACAGCGTCCATTATTCTTCAAGACTTATAAAATATAATATTATATATATTACGTATATATATATATAGTATCGGCACAATATCTATAGATGTAGATTTATTATTATAATTTATCCAAGTAGCTGTATTATTTGTATATTAATAGGTTAACCGATAAAAGTATTCATAAACAATTTTCTCTTTAATGATAACAACATGACAGCATACGCATTAAGTTCATTCGGTCACGTACCATGTATAAGGCAGGTGAACAAATTACAATTTTACCAAAAAAAAAGAGAACATTATAATATATAAATTGCTTGTAATCGTTGGCGTTGGACATTTAAATTCGAAAGAACGTTTTAAAAGCGAAATCTTTTGAATAACAAAAATCGAATGAAATAGAAAACTGTTTCTGGTATATTTTACCGTGGTTCCTGGTCACTGCGCATTCTTCAGTTTCTGTTCGTATTTTATTTTACTTATGAATAACTTACTTACCCATGAATAACTCCAATGATATAGACGACTTCCTTATTTTCCATTCATCCATTCGATCACGCCTAAGCAATTTATAGGGTTAAATAATGAAAGCACAATGAGTGAGAATAATGTATATTTACAACAAAAGTATAATTGTTTTGTGTTACTACACTCGATTGGTTTTTTCGTCTCTGATAGATTATTACCATCTTGTTCTGATCCGATGGTTTGTCACTGATTTGTGAACAAATTTCACTTAAGATAATAAAATTTCAAAAGCTATCAGCTTTACATTGACACGCAACGCGCAATAGAAAGATTCCTTTCTATTTTAGTTATGCAAGTGTATTTGTGTAAGTTGTAACTATAATAATCATACTAAATATACTAATTTATACATTTATTAGATAATGTAATTTAAAAATGAATTTAATATTTAAATTACAAAGAGTTCCATTTTACCGTGTGTTATTTTTTGTTTGGCATACGTTTGAATAATAGATGCCACGTTTGATTTGTTAGCCGAATAAAATATTATGACATCCTTATTAAACTTATTACCTACTAATGACAGCGTGCAAAACCTTATGCTACTTATACATGTATATTGCTAATAAGTATTTAGATTTCGGTAATGCCAATGGCCGGTTTGCTACATGTCAATGTATTCTATTAATTTGTATTTTGTGACAGGAAATTCACCATTTCAAGGTGTCCTGCAAGAGCCTTCGATAACCCGGAATTGTATAACCAATTGTAAAATGACACTGGTTGTCATTCGGTCCGTTCATCTTGAATGTGATTATTAATGATATAATTTATGTGTAAAACATAATATTATCTTGATGTATACTCTTATGTCGGAAATTATCTGTACGAATTCCGATAGATAAAAAAAAACAGAGGTTATTTATGGTGATATAGAAAACAAATGTTCTGCCTTCTTGTCTATTATGTAGGCTATCCCGTCGTTAATGACATTTGTAACGGAATAAATTAATTACCCCGAATTCCGGTCGCGCCGTCGGTCTTTTTTTGTCTAACGCGATTTGACTCGGATGTTGTACCGATCAGTGTACAATATCAAATATGTGTATATACAATATACCCATCATAAGATGAAGAAATTCTTGGCCAACGCTAACGTATTGCACGCGCTGTTAATCAATTACCATTAGCTCGAGAGGAAATAAAAAGACCTCTGTGTGTGTGATCTAATTTCACGTTTTATTTTCAAATTAATATTGTTCCTTGTCTCCCTGCGCGTATACCGTTACGGCCGACCGACGCGATACTATTTTTCCATGCTAATAATAATAAAATAGTATATAATATTTTTTTTCGTACGGGACACGTCGTATGTTTGCATTCTATATTATTGTTAAAATTATTACCATCGTCAGTACCATCATCTCTGTTGACAGCCGGTTTTTTTGCGTGGGTTCCCATGGTTGAAAATTCTTAAACCAAGAAGTCCATCACAACAGACACAACGGTGTCGCGCGCGCCTTGTGACAGATATACAATAATAATGTTAGGAAAATACACACAAGAAGTACACGGTGGTTTTTTTTTTTTCATTCTCATTTCTCTGTATAATAATATCACATATCATTCCTAATTGAGTCGGTGACATTTGATGTTATTATTATATTTGCTTCGGTTTGTGTACAGTTGCGAATTTTTTCAATATCTATGTATTATATTATATATTTTTTTTTATCGTTTACAGGTTCTTTTTAGTGCGGTACTACCTACACTACTATTAACCCCACGACGAAGACGAGGTTGCCATCATAGCGGCGGCGGCAGCAGCAGCAGCAACAGTAACGCTGGTTTTCATATCATGATGTGATACGTGCGAACACACAATGAAGATAACACACATATCATATTATTATCATCTGTCGACACCATTGCTCAAACTCTATAGTTTTGCTTGAAACATATTTTAAATTTTCATCATCTGTACATATAGTTCATAATTATATATTACTATAAACATTTGTTTTAATTTATTTTTGCTAATAACTGTGACTGTCATAGATATCTATACTGTCATAGATAGTTGTATGTAATAGTTATTTATAGAAATATAATACATGCAAAGAATTGCCAATTTTTTGTCGAACAACGTGATTATAATATTACCTAGATTTAGACCATCCCCGTGTATATACAATTATAACATTCGATTTACATTAATCATTACGTTATATTTAATAGTTGTAAAATAAATATTGTACAAACGACCCCCCTCCCCTAAAGTTATATATTTATTTCATGATTAATATTTATACATTAATTAACTTATTTGATTTTAATAATTATTTATGATTTACATGTTATTGCAAAATTGATTATTCAGCTAAAATAAAATTGTAAATTCCGTGGCTGTGTCATGTATAAGCTATTATGTTATTACAAAGTTGACCGTCAAGCTTAGATCGTTGTATTGGTATAGCTCTATCTATAAAGGTATATTAAGGTATATTAAGATATACCTTTATGGCTAGAGATTTATTAAGATCTAAGCTATATAAGGTATAATTTCTATGGTATTTGCTACTTAGGGAAACTAATATTATTGCATTGTCACCATCATTATTGTTTATAATATATTATATACGCAACTTATTTATTAACCATTATACCTACTCAATTGGGATTTTTTATATTAACATGAAATTAAAATGTTCTATTATCAATTCCCACTAATATATTATTTTTTAATTTAATTAAAATCTCATAAATAATGATTTTACGATTATATATTTTTTACATAAATTATTGTCATTACACATTAATTTGTTAATATTTGTGACAAATTATTAAATAAACTATACTTAAAAATTTACAATTATTATATCGAATTGAATTTTTTTTAAACTATGAGTCCTAAGCACACCCAAGCTTCCCCCAAAATGCACCTATGTTTAAAAGTTAAAATGTCAGTGTAAAACACCTATACCTAATCAAGTTTAGTAGAAAATAAAAAAAAATTAATTGAAAAATGATATTGAGCTTACTTTAATTTGGATTAACTAACGAGCATCAACATTTTTTTTTTAATGTATTATATAAAAATAAACATAATAAAATGTACATCATTCTATTATATAAATATGTTAGATAAACATCATTTCAAAACTTAAGTAAATAATAATATAATAATGTGATACAGTGTTATATTTAACAGTAATTAATGAAAGTACACTAGAGTACTATATTGAAGCCTGTAACTTGTATTTATTGTTTATAAATCGTATACTAGGTATCTAATTAATTGTATAACTGTTTCTTGGATCTATACACCAAACAGTTAAATTAAAACCATATAGTAAAATCATATGGTAAAATCATACTCGCAGAATAAAATATAAAAAGTTTTGTACAAATATTAACACGATATAGTCTTATGGAAAATAAAACTATACCCAAGGTACAGACATTTATTTTGCAGTAATTTAATTCAAAATGCATATTATACTAAATTTTTCTCGACTTACATAAGTTAATTCAATAAAAAAATACATCCAAGTTGTTTAACTGAACATTTAAAAATATTAACTTTGTAGATGCATGTGTAAATAATTGAAATTGAACTCAACTCATAGAGATTAATTTTAGATTTTATGAAATAAACCACAATAATACTAGTAAATCAAATGTAATTAATATACTTTATAGATAATACAATTTATTAACGTTTGGTTATAATGTCAGTTGAGTTTTTTACTTTTCAAACAAAGTAGCAATATTTATTTTGCTTCATCTCATTGAACTTTGCCAAAAAAAGCATGTGTTAAGTAAAAATAATAATAATAATATAATATAATATAATATACATAATGTACCTATATATCATGTTAGATTATTTGTATCTAAATTACAAGTCTCAACAATAATAGAGATCTTGTTTTTTTTTTTTTTTTTATAAACTGTTCATTATAGGTAGCAACTATCAGTAGTCACAATATTGTTATTATTTGTTTGTTTATAGACCTGTCATAATGCAATCAATAAGTCATAAAATATCTGATTTAGGATAAAGAACTTGTAAGTAAAATAAATTAGATAATTATGTATGTTATTTAAAAAAAAGTTTACATTTTACACTTAAGTATTTTCGAAGACTGTTATATGGATTCAATTAAGTAGGAAATGTAATTTTTTTGTTTAGCTCATATACTATACTAATATGTTGTTTGAACGCATAGATCATACACATTTATTATAATTAAAAAAAAAAAATTTTACAATGGACTCTACAGCATATTATTTGGAAATAAGCAAATAAATATTACATATTAAATTTCAAAACAATAGTCGATATAAATTGTAAATACAAAATTTCATTAAAATTTTTTTGATAGATTAATGTTTTAGCTTTTTTTATTACTATTTGGATCAATAACACTAAAAATCAGTACACAGTAATGCATGGTAGTTTTCTCGGGGGTGAAAAATTAAATTAAACTATAACTTTTTCTTTCCTCAAATCGGGAATATAATTTATCGGTATTAAGAAACAAAGTTTTTTTAATTCAGTAGTATCGTTTAATTTTGCTTTGTTTAAGGATTACTATTATTACTATTATTGGAGTAACAGACAAATTTATATAGTAGTGTTTTTGCATAAATATACCTAAAACATATAATACATTTTAAAAATCCACAAGAAAATATTGATCGAAAACACACTTTAATTTAGTTATATTAGTTTTAAAATTATACTACATTAAAAGCTTCATTGGTTATACAAACTTCATAGGTATTCAGCAAATGTACACATATAAAACAATTTAAGACGTTATGCTAGCTAGACATGTATGTATACTCTAATACTTCTTTTGTAATTAGCTAATAAAAAATATGATATATTTAATAAAAAAAAATAATTTACACTGACCACTAAAACATGTTGAATATAGGTGCAAATATTATAATGATATGTGCGAAAAGTAATCAACGCATTGAGAACTATTTTAATTGAAATGTTAACAATATGTTGAACACGCGAACCTACATTATTATAAATAATTTATGTAGAACAAAGACCGCAGATTTTGAAAATCGATTATAATTTTTAAATCGAAATACTTTTTTTTTAACTAGGACTTTGTCGCGAATTGTTCACCCATATAATAAGAAATTTAGTCGACGCTATAAGACCACAAGCCTTGCGTGTGCGTTTTATACTTTCAATATAGTTTCTAACCGGCATACAAAATTATTTTTTGATTTTTGGTATCCAAAGGGCATTGCCATTGCTGCATTGAGTCTGTCACGTTAGCTGCCCATCGGTAATTCACTGTACTAAACTCTATTGTCATGGTGATCATCCGACGGTATGCCTAATAATTGTGTAAAACCAAAGAAACCGCTGAAACATACAGGTCGCACGTGATCGGTGTACAGATAGATCTTGGGTGATGATATAAACCGCGAACGGGTGGTCAACGATGCGCAATCATATAAATCCGTATAAAACGGAAATTGCTCATAATTAGTCGTTCATTTCTGATCGGACGTCGGCCAGATTAAATTTAATTGGCTCTCCGGTCGTTGATAATTTGTGAAATTTGTGCAAAACGCATAATGGCCGGCTTTCGATTGGCGATTCTACTGGGTGCGCTGTGTTCGTGCCACTCGTGGCCCAACGACTTGACTGCGATGCTGGACGAAGGTGAAAAATGCGCCAAAGTCATGGACTTGTGGCCGTGCGTTAAGAGAGGCGGCTCGAAAATCATGCGGACGGTGTTGGACTACCAAGGCGAGATACCGTTGTTGGGGTCGTACTTGTCCATAGTGCCCACCAGAGGAATGGCGGTGAACGACGAAGGAAGAAAATATGCTTCGAACGACTCGTCGGTGTATTCGAAGATGCTGGAATTTTCTGAGAAAAGCCATCTGCGGATCATACTGCCGGTAAATACAATCACATGGTTGGTCGGTGCACCGATCACGGAAGGACGGGGCAAGAAGGACAAAGGGGCCGGAGTGCTTATGCTCGGGGGCATGATGATGATCACCACGTTGATGTCAACCGCTTTTGGCGCGTTGGCTCTGATGGCAGCCAAAGGCCTGATGACCAGCATCTTGGCGTTAATGCTTTCCGCAATGGCCGTGTCTAAGAAAGGCGGTCATGGACATGCGAGAACCACTTATGAAGTCATAAACGCCCCTCATGGTTATACTCAAGGTTCCGACTACAAGTTTACACCCTCATCGGCGGCAATTTCGTCAGAAGTGAGTTTTTATTACATTTTGCTTTTTTAAATCTCAAAATTAACTATAACAATTACTTGCAGTTAAGTATCAATGAAACGATTATAAATACAATTCGTTTTCAGTAACAAAACCTGATTGTAGAATGAAATATTTTAGTAGTTCTTTTGATTATTGAAACGTTGCTTACAAAGAACATAATTTGTATGTTCTGTCGAGAGAATTAATTTTAAGTTATGTGATGAGAGCCAAACTGGTACAAGTGACATTGTTTTCAAAAACAACTTTTTGATCATATATATTTTGTCAAATAGTTGAATAACTAATGAATGTCTACTCGTGCTGTTTTAAAAAATTGTAATCGATTTCTAAAAAAGGTGCTAGACAAAAGCAATGAAGATCGTTTAAAATAAACTATCATGTCATCCTGTAATTTTTTTTAAAAATCATTGAGACCTTTTTGATTCTTACCACTTAATTTAACGAAAAAAGTAAAATTAATACTTACATTACTCGCTTTGTAAAATAAGATAATACAATTGTTTTTGTATATAAGTTATAATGAGGTTTTTAGAAAATGTTACAATTAGGTTAACTAGTTTCATGCGTTATCCCTTTTTTTTTTGCTACCTACTTTTTTCAATTTTAATTTGATACATTACTCGCATATCAAACGAGTCATTTTAATAATCGCGTGTTTATACGGGTAATACAAATATGTAGCCCATAAAAAAAAACAAATAATTACTTGCGGTTGAGTCAAACAATTTTTAGTTATTTATAAATATAATATACAACATATAAATGGTTAACGAGTATTTATTAGGAAATCAATTGTTATAAACAATTATTTTCCACAAATGACACACTTTTAATTTATTATTTTTATTAAGCATTATTTTATTTTAATTGTTAATATTTTAAAATTTAACTCCAAAAAGCGAAAAATTTTAATATTTTCAAAATGTTGTAAATACATTTTATAACATTTTAAAAATATGTTCAAAACAGTTTTTGTAGTAAAAGTTTGTATCTATATTTTTAATAGTTCAATAATTATCTACAAAAAGTCGTAAAAAATTGTTTGAAAATATTTCAATTGTTTTGCTGACCGGGAATGGTATTTAAATCTCTTGTTTTTGATAGTTATTACATAGTAATAATTATTAATATTTAAAACATAGCCAAGTGTCGTAAAAAAATTAAATTTTGATAATCTAATTATTTATATTAAAAATGTTAAAAAGATTTTAATAAATTATTACTCTATTTTGTAAAAAAAAATGCCTATATATAACTTCTGAAACGTTACTTTGAGCTTTTGTATGTTTCTCTACGCTTAATAACTATTGTATATAATGTATTTTATTTATTTGTTTTAGACCTTTTAATAAAATGTGTGTTGCTCTTGAAAATCATTTAAACTGAACAATGTGTTATTTAAAACACAATATTTTAATAATTTCAAACTTTTACATTTGTTTCAGGCGAATAATGGATATAATACTGCTAGTGAACCCATTCAGTATGGAAATCAACAATACGATTAGGAAGAAATTGACATTAGGTGTATTGTTGTAGTTATATAATATTAGAAAATAATCAAATAAAGTGTTCACAAAATAATTAGATACAATAATGAAGTGTAATAATTTAAAAACAAAATAATTTATTTTTTAAATATATAATATCTATTAGTAAAATATTTGATTTTTGTGTATTATTATATAAAACAATAAAATTGGTATTAAAATGATACGATAAATAAATTTAAAAAAAATGTTTACTGGAGCGGTTTCCTTTTCCATTCACGATGAGCGTCAAATCCTTGTGAGACGATTCCTTTTTGGATGATCCCGAATCTTCGCTGTTCTTCCAATTAGACACCACCAACAATTTAGCAACCAGCGTGAACAGCAATGCTTTGCCAATAACCGCAGCCGTGGCGTTTATGAACATACTCATTAACGCCATGCCCACCATCATCGTGGCTCCGATCATCATGTTTAACGTTTTTTTCTTCATTTTCTTCTTTCCTCTGCCTGCGACAAACACAAATTTTGTCAGCACGCACGTTATATAACATTTACCTCGCATGTTTAGGTACTATATTATACTATAATATTATACTCAACGTTACCTACTGATAAATCCGATCCGGCTTGGTCGACGACGGTCACGGTGGAATCCATTGCGGCCAGCTCCAACGCATTGGTTTCCGTCAAACACAGTATCGTTTCGCCGTACAAGCTGACTACCAGATACAAGCAGAGCGCGTACAAACATAAACGCTTCATCGTTTCACCGATAATGCGGAAAACTAATACTTAACGAAATACAAATACGGGCGCACACATATTTTACTTGTGTGCGAGTCCGTCACTCGGTGCCGTCGCTGCGGTTAGAGGTGTCATGCATATCCGAATATGTAGGTGATTGAAAGTCGCGTTGCCGATACGTCGGGCGATTGGATTGCGCGCGTTCGCTTAAACTCGGCGGTCGCATTTGGTAATTAAAGAAAAATAAAAACAAATAAAAAAAGAAAAGGACCCAAATTCGAAAGTCATATATAAATACCCGGCGCGGCATCCGTCCGTCGATCAGTGTGTAGTCCGCTGTCGTCAGATATGTCGTCGCTAAAACCGTACATTGTTACCGCGCTGCTGGTGTTCGCCGCCGTCGGGGCGACATCCGACCCGGTCGGTTCGTCTTCGGCTTACAAGGTGTGCTCGGCCAACGACAGCCCGGGAATATGCTTGATCAAAGGTCTGTTGAAGAACGCCATCGTTTATTTCACTCAACCGGACAAGGTCGACGACGGTGCGGACGCTGCGGAAAGGGTGTCGGACGACAACGCGCTAAAAGAGTCCAAAGGCATCGAAGACTACGTCGTATCGCAGCTGCAAAACATCTTCGGTCTGTTTTCGTTTGGTTTAGAGTTGCCCGAAGTCCCGTGGGCTCTGCTGAAGTCGTCGTTTTTTAACGGTTAGTCCAGTCGTGTTGTACATAACACAATAACTATTGGTGCATAAAAAATTGTATGTGACAAATTTAATGGATCAATCCAGGTTAGGATTTGTTATGATATTGTTACACACTGTACTGACTGTAATCAATATCCACGGTGTTGATGGGTTGCATTGAATGAATTAATAATGTTTTAAAAAAAAATTAGCAATAACAACTTGATCGGTGATTCCCTAATATTAAATGTAAAGTGATCTATTATTATATTTATGTCGATCACCGATCAGGTCTCGTTGATATCTATATCGTATTCACGGCATAAGAGGGCGAAAATTATATTGATCACTAAGAAAGTTAGACGTTTTTGTACAAAATTATTAAGCTTAAGCATTTTATTTTTTTTTACTCTAGCGAGAGGCAAGAAGAACAAAAATCTGGGACCCATGTTGGCGGCCGGTGCAGCTGTGATGGGCGGTACTCTGCTTCCTCTGGCGCTGGGCGCTCTGTTCTTGTTGGCCGGTAAAGCCATCATGACCAGCATGTTGGCCATAACCATATCCGGTTTGATAGGACTGAAGTCGCTGTTCAGCAAACACGAAACCGGACACGTCAAAGCCTACACTTCCGTGCCGACGGCGGGTCACTACTCCGAACAATACGAACAGGAGATGGGCTTGTACAAGGGTCAGACTGAGGCCAAAATGCACGCAGGGTTCTATGCCGGCGAGTCGACGGGCCAGCAGACGGTAGCCGGCTATTACAAGGGCGAACAGCAGAGCGCCGGATCCAATCAGCAACCCGACTACTATGCGCCAGCCAGCACCAATACTAATCCGAAGTACATCAGCAGCAGCGGTAGTAGTAGTAGTAGTGTTAACGCCAACAATAATATCGGCCACTGATTTTTATACATGTTTTTGTAAGTTTTCTTATTGTAAAATATTGTGTTAAATATTTATTTATTTGTTTGTACGCGTAATAACGCTATCGACGAATTCCTAAAAGAAAGGTACTTTTGTTAGTAATAAATTTAAACAAAATTGTTGTATTCCGCTTGCTTGTACATTTAATTAGTAAACCTCGTGGGTATACGGTATACTGGCGACGTTGTTAATAACATACCCGGTATACCACTAGTCTGTTGATGAATATTAGAACGGTTCAATAAATTAAAGCATATATTTTAGGATAAAAAAATTAATAATAATAATGATCACCTCATGCGTGTAGTCATTTCTCATTTAATTGGCGAATGTGGAACACTTTGGATACTGTTTATAATGTTGTAAATTGTAATTAATGGTTCCACTCAAACGCATCACGATGTAATTATTTAAATACGTTTACACGATTGATTGATTTCCATGTTGATTTTCTTTGCGATTGTTAAAACTAGTACCTAAATATTTATATTGTATACTAGTCATCATAATTATAAAATCACATTGAACCCAAATCATTACCACTATTATTAAATAGACTAACACTAATAGTATTATACTATATTTCCAACTTTAAAATTACTTTTCATGTTCTTCTACTTATTTCATATTTCAAAAAATTAAATGTGTGATTATTTTTTTTTATAATTTCGTATGAAAATAGTTTTTAATTAAAATATTAAACTAGCATTTGAATTTAATTTATGAGATTTCTGCTATTTAGTTATATACATCAAATATTACTTTACCCATAAGTTACGTTTCTTTTTACTTTTATTCCTTTTGAAACTTATAGGTGTTATCAGGTGTAATCAGCGCACAGAAATTCTGTATGGGGGGAGGATGTCATAGATAATGTCATGTAATTGTGGTTAATGTCTTTGTTATCATTTATCAGTTATCACCACAGCACATATTTTCGATGATAAATTGTGTTTTCAACGAGTACATAAAAGTTACATAGTATGTTGATGAACTTTAATGTTAAAAGTAAAAAAAAAAAGACCCATGGGGAGATATATCCCAATCATCCCCCCCCCCTGTGCACGCCACTGGGTGTAATCTATAACAATACAATTTATACCTAAAATCATGTCTTTTTTTTTGTAATAAAAACTTTCAGTTTTATGAGTAACTGATTTATTTTCAGCTATTTCTATAAACATTTAATCGCTTCTTATTTTCTCATTTTGCACCTCATTAACATGTTTCATTTATGAGATAAATTTAAAACAAAAATATATACGAGTATAATATATTTTATCATATGCAAATTAATTTATCGACGATATGATCATAAATTAGAGATATTTGTTTTGGTATAAGTAACTTCACAACAAAAATACATTATTGTAAAAACGAATTACCTAATTTATATAAATAAATAAAACAACTATTCAATTTCAAAAAAATAGTATACTTTTTAATGGTATTTAAATTTTAAATGTTCTTATTTATAGATAATATTTAAACATAATAAGTGTTTATTTTCAGAATGAAGTGAAAATGAAATAAAATAAACGGAAAAGGAAACTAAAGTATAATAAGTACTATAATAGAGAATAAAGTAAAAGGAACACATTCTTAACTGTAATTTTTTTATCGAGAGAACTAGTTTTTTTTTTGTAGTAAATACGTTTTTGATAAAAACAATAATACTTTAACATTACGTATACTGGAAAGTTAAATTTTTTTAAGTAAAACAAAAAAAACCAATAATTTCAAAAAAGTAACACCTATAATATTATAGTTAACTTGCTATTTTTTTCCGTTCAGAAAAAAAATAATCGAATAAATTAGGTATAACGAATAATATTTATTTTTATTATTCTCTAAAAATACATTTCTTCTTAGTTGGCTCGAATTCGGTTAAATCCGTATACTAGTTATGGTTTTTAATAAATAAATAAATAATATAAAATTACATTGATCAATAATTGTCAAAAAATAAATAACACAAAGCTACTACGCTGGAACGGCTGTCGTTACGTTCACCGGTATACCGTAGGCCAGACTGTGAGCTAACGACCGTCCGTGTCCGTGACCGGTGTGCGAAGGTACGTTGATTACTTCATAGGTCGTGGCGCTGTGACCGCCACCACCTGACGCCAATTTCTTTAGTGCAAGTATAGCGGCGAGCATAAGGGCTATGACGCTGGTCATCAGGGCTTTGCCGCTCATCATGGCCAGAGCTCCCAGTTTGATCGGCAACAGCGTTCCGGCTACCATCATAGCTCCCATCAGTAACGGACCGGCGTACTTGTCTTTTTTGCCTCTCGCTAAAAAATTTAAAAATACCGGTTAACATTTTTTGTGCGTTTCTATTTCGTAAAATTAAACAACGGGCGAAATCCATTGGTATACAAGTAAATAATTGTAATGTATCGGAATTTATTCTAGAGCCTAAAGTCCATAAACAAAGCTAATTTAGAAAAAACTTAAACAACAATCGCGGTTATAATTAGTAGAGAAATAAAATAATGAAGTATTTAGAAAAAGAAAACTAAACCGCAAAAAATAACACACAAAACTAATAATTCGACAATTTAATTTAATACTCCTCAGTGATATAGATTTGACATGTATAAAATGAAATTTTTGAGAACCTCAAGTCACAAAGTTTAGAGCGCTACTGAAAAGTACAATCAGAACAATGTGGTTGTAGGAAAATCGTCAACATACTGGATAATATATTATAACTATTGTACAGATAAATAATTGTAGGCTTGCTTTTTAAATGCATTTATATACGTAAAACATTACTAATTATTTTACTACAAGCTTTTGAGCATCGTTTTAGCTTATATAAAATAAATATATTATTTTTATACACTTCTAGATGTTTAAAAATACGGTGTAAAAATTAGTTGTAAATTTTTTACTGCGCTAATGAAGTGGCTGTAAATACCTGACTAGGAACAAAAGGGACATCACTACGGTAGGCACATTAGAGTATAATAATTTATGACAATATTATAAAAATATTATTTTGTTTTGTTTTGTTTCGCAAAAATGAATGCCAGCTATTATAATAGAAATTGTTATCTACACAATATACGCGATATTAGTTTTAATTGTACCACAAGAGAAAGTATTGAAACCACTGTTTAGAGTGAATATTGTTAATTATCAATAGGTATTTATTTTGAATTCCGATATATTTTTAGATAATGCGATAGCGAGATGTTGAGTTTTTGATATTTTGATGATACAGCAAGGTTAGCATTACTTGGCACACATTTATATTCCCTATCGATGATTACACAAAGGTAATAAAGTAAGGAGGGCACTTTTCCAGAAAAGAGCGCATCCCTAAAAAAGGTAAAAGTGAGTCCTTCTAATTGAATTTTGAAACAACGAGCTTTTTGTAAAATTAATGTGTAGGAAAAAAATACAAGTATTCATTTAGTGTTTTATATTTTTTATTGTTTATTACAAATCAAAGTTTATACGAATTTGTAGTAACTTAAGAAATGAAACCAAAACTAACGTAATAAATGAACTTAAACTTTTTTTTTGGAGTTACACCACTTTTACAATGAACGACCTAAATATAGAAATTAGTAAGCGTGAACCGTAGAGATTTCAGTGTCTAGTGTTCTAGCAAAACAGTAAACTAACCTAACTTAACCCTGCTTTTATTTTTGAGACTTGACCTGATTTTTCAAATTGAATTCAGCTCATCTTACAACGCTGTATCGATCCTAACGGGATAATCCCCGGGCTTACCTTGCATCACGGTGGTTTTGAGCGATTCCAAAACGTCGGCCGGCGCCTTGAGGCTGATGGCCCGAGACTTGACAAACGCCATCGCGGAGTCGACGAACGACGGGCCGGACACCGCGTTGATGTCATCGGCACTTCTCTTCAGGTCGAGTCCATCTGGCCGGCCGTCTGCGTCGTCGTCGTTCTTCACCAGCGTCACGTAGCCCGGCACCAGCTCAATGGGATCCGACGACTCGGCCAGCGCTCGCACGCCGGCTACGGCCGTGTCCGACAGACAGTCCGTAACGCTGGGGGCGCCGGCGCACTTGGACACGGCCTTGACCGCGGCCATCCTGATACCGGTAACCGTGGTCGGCGCAACGACAGCGTGGGCCTGAGGTGTGCGGCTAAGCCCGGCAAAGGCTACGGCGGCAACGCACAAAACGCTTACCGCGGACGACATGGCGAAACACTATGAACGACAAACCGGCCGGGTTATCGTTATTTATACGGACCATCGGTGTAAAATCGAAGGTGTCGCTTATGTGTTTTTTTTAATGACTCTTCCATTCGGTTTCGATCGCGGCCATAGTCGGTACACAATCCCTGACCGCAAACGCATCGCTCCGTGACGAACTGAAAGTCTAAATCGCTCACATACAAACACACACACACACACAGAGGAATCGAGTGGACAGCAAGGAAAAACCAACAAACCGACATCCATGTCGCACGTTTGACTCGAAAAACGTATGTAGCCCAAGTAAAAAAAACGGAATGCAGTCAAAAATGTACACCGCAATGTAAATGCATAAGGGCGACTAATAATGGTGCTTTCACTGTCGTTGAAAAAATATACATCGTTTCGCTCGAATGTAGTTCCAGTTTGATATAGAGAAATTAATTTTGTTCTTACATCATTTTTTTTTTTTGGCATTCATATTTTATAAGCCTTAAAGTTGCATTCTCTGACGGTAACTCACCACCGTGGGCTGGATTAAAAATTCGCCGCCGAGAATGTATAGATTGATCGGTCCATAATGTTAAAGATCACCTTGACTTTCAAGGATAGTTTTGAAACAAGTAGCAAACATTTACTTCTGATAAAATTAAATGCCTCGCGGTTTTCAAAAAGGTTTTTGTTTTTTCTTCATGTTCATCTCTTGTATTGTAAACATTGTTAATCGGCGCATAAATATTTCAAATCTAATTTTCAAATGAGATTAACTATGAATATATTATATATCTATTTTGTTTTGATTTACAGTTAAACCTCTAGTCGGGTTTGTCCTGTAATATCAAAGAATTGTTTTCTAACAATTTAAAAATTAATGTATTCTAAACTTTTTAGTACAATTTTTATTATTTATTTTAACTTAATAATGGGAGAAGCGAAAACATTTTTAAGTTTAACTACTCGTATTGCAGTTCTGTAAAGTATTGGATTAAAAGTATTTGGAAATTTATTTCAAATATTTTTTAATTAATATTATACACATTTGAATACAAGTTGATGATATTTGTTTTAATCTTTTATAGTTGATAGCTGTCTGAAGTAGAACCATCAACCAACCCACTTTTTTCGAATCCAACTATATTTAATTGAGTTATCGAAATTTATTTGTCATCGAGTGGCAAGTTCTACCCACACAGCACACAATATATATTTTAAAATTATAATATTTTGCTATAACTATTTTTGCAATACTTCTTAATATCTTGAACATTATATAAAAATATATAATATTTAAGATTTATTAATAAAAAGTGTTTACTACGTGGCGTAAACATTTTACAACACAATTTAAAATAAAATCTGTGAATTAATTCTATTAAAAGTTACATTTTAATATCCTTATATCCTTGTATGTACTTGTGTACTATTAAAAATATTTCTTACAACATCCCCAATTTTCACTTACAATATTTCAAGTGATAATGTGAGTAATATGCACGTTTATGCCATAGTCTAATTATTGACGGTTGGAATAATTTAAGAGGTTCTGTAACATCGCAACCATGTTTTTTAAATAAAATAATTTGTATAGAAACATATATTAAAATATTATTTTACGAGTACGTCAATTTGATATTATACGTAAATTGACATAATAATCTCAATATGATCAGATTAGATTATTAGCTACACGGGAAGAATGGCAAAGGTTCATTCGATTTTTTTTTTTGCACATACTATACGAGTCGAATTAAAACCATTAACCTCTCTATTTATAACTATGTACTTTGATTAGAGAAATAATTTTGCGCATCTCAACATCGACTGTTGTGTATAAAAACCGTGTATAATAGTAATGATTTATGGACGCGTAATTAGTCGTTCAAGGAGTCTACAAAAAGCCTACGGGTGACTGTTGTTGAAAATAACAATCTAAGAAACACATCTGTGTCGAGTTATAAACTCAATTTTTTTTTCTAAAAATGTCTAACCACTTTCATACTTAATACACAATTATATATTTTTATTTTTATAAATATGCATATCATGCATAATGCATGATTACTCAAGTATAGAGTGTTCCGATAACACATTATGATCTATGACAATATGTATAATGTATACTGTATACAATTATTATATTACTTCATTAAAAATATAAAATTAGGTACATAATTTGGCCAGTTCACGGAGAAGCAAACTCTAAGATAGCTGACAATTGTAAATATTTACCCTTGTATTATACATTTAATTTACATACATAAAATAACAAAATATTGTATTAAAAACTACTCAAAATTATTGAACGTAGAGGAAAAATTGTATTAAAGCTCCATTACGATTTTGTTAACAAAAAACAAAAGTAGATTTAAAGAAATGTAAATATTTTTGTCACTCTGTTCTCTTTGTAACGCCATTACTGAAATATAATTGTACGGAAGAATAACGGCAGTACAAACTATATTATTTACATGCTGAAATATATAAATTAGAGTTTTAAAATTATATCGTTTATGTCCAACCGCATAAATTATTCCTTTTTATTTATAGATAATAGCGTTTGACCGCTAAATGTGTTTAACCAAGATGAAAAAAATATTTACAACTAATAAATACCTAGTTTGCTTGCGCTACGTGGAATCTAGGATAACTATTCGCTTGACGCTACAACTAACAGTCCATTAATAGAATTACCACAGTTTGGCTTTAATGAGAGGGTTTTATAATTTTAATTAAAACTAAGCGTTTGATACGTAATCCTCATGAATTTACTATTATGACAGTATAAATTGAATGGCGTTATGCAGAAAGCAACCAACCCACAAAACTAAAATCTCGATTTTTTTTTTGTGGGTTGGTTGCTTTCTGCAAAACTCAATTCAATTGCATGTGTAAAACTACTTCAAATGGTTATGTGATAATGAAGCTGATATTTTGATTTGAATCTTTTGTGTAAAAACGTGTGGAAACGTTTAAAATATTATTTTATTTAAATAATAACGAATTATTTAAAATATGTATGACATATTAATAATACCCACTCTCGTGATCTGAACGAGACTTAAAAATGTTAAAACTTACAAAAAAATTTGTATTTCAACTATTTAAATCCATCTTTGTTTCGTGCCACAATATTAATTCGATAATTTAACCACAATCAATAACCGATGGTAAATTAATACGTCAATCTATGTTGACTCTGTCATAAGAATTAAGAAATACATACTAAATTATTTAAACTAGAGAGCCTGTATTATATCAGAGAGCAGACCACACCCATCAAATTGACAGGGTAAATAATATAGACAAATATTTAAAATGTTTTAAATTATTTAAAATATTCAATAAAATAAATTTAGTTGATAATTAATTTAGCCACCTTGATGATCTAGTTTCAACTTGATCTTCATTAAAAAAATTATTAACTGAATAATATTATTCAGCAAAAAATAAATATCTAATAACGTGATATAGATCTTTTAATTTCATTATTAAAGTTCCTATTTAACAATTCAATTATTATTAATTTATAAAGAACTATATAAATCTATCTATTGGTAAGCAAACTGTTTTTTTTTAAAGCTATTTTTATAAAAATATTTCTTAACAGAATCCGATATGCAAATGTCAAATGGTTTAAGGTTTGACACAGAATACCTGATGTTATATAGTTCATGTATAGATGAGAAATGTTAATTTTTGCAACAAATAAGTAAGATAAGTTAAATAAATGCGTTTTATCTTTGCGCCTCGTGGTTACTGTTACATACAATAGATCAAGCTCTGAAGTAGGCTTTGTTGCCTATACAAATACATCAGGTTGTTCGTACCACGAAAACAATTTTAAACAATTGTATTATTTTAGGCCCTTATAAGGAATACAAAAGTATTTGTGTGCATCATATTTAGAGGCGGACTTTTTGTAGGCTTTAGAAAGTGTTACACGACATTTATAAAATATTCCTATAAAAGTATAAAGTTTATATTATTATAGGCTTTTATAGCACCCACCAACATACACAAAGAATTATTTTTTTCTTTATGGAACCTTTTTTTTCTCGCATTGTACATAAATAAAACAAATCAAGTACATAAATTAATACTTAACATTAAAACCTTTTATTTTAAATACATCCTATTTTCATTAAATAGAATAATAATATTGAAAAATCGGGTTCGAGCTCACTTGTTATTAACACTGTGCTCGATTTTAACAATTTTACAATAATTTATATCTACTACTCTATTGGCCTACAATAATTATTTATCTATACAGATACTTTTTTTTATTTGTTTTAATTACATTTTTTATTATAAACAAATATGACAAAGAAAAGGTACATTGTATATTAGTGTATAATATTGAATGTTGAACAAAATTCTTCTAATAATATACTATAATTTAATTGGTAATTATCGACAAAGAAATTTTATACCAACGCGCTTGTTTAATTAATTAACGCATAATTTTCATTACTAAATCATTTAATTTGTTACCATAATATGTTTTATAAGGTATGTTTACAATTAGGTTGATATTGTAATGCCGTTAGGAAGGCAACGTAGTAAATTTTGTGAAATTTGAGTAGGAGGTGAAATGGTGTCGTAGGAACTTCTATTAGTACACAATATGTTCCCAACATGATGCATGATGATTTATGACTAACTTATTGACAATATGGAGCATATTGACCTATTAAAGATGTTTGCATAGCTCAACTATTTGTATGTATTTTATTATTTATTGTATGCTTAAAAAAAAATCGAAGCACATATTTGTCTTTAAATCCGAATTAGTAAATACAAATAACAAAAAGAAAATTAACGAGTTCAGAAAATACTTCACAATGATATTATAAGTGATAAATAAGTTAACTTACTATGCAATTTGTTGAACTTGAGTTCAACCCATAACCAAACAATTAAAAATTAACTAGAAATGTTATCCTTCACTATGCTTTTTATATAGTCGGTGTGTATGTTTAATGTATATAATATGATAATTA